GCAGTAAAAGTTGAAAGTTGTGAAACATGTCAAACTTGCCAGTTATTTCATGAAAAAGATAATCTACCTTGTGGGCATAAAATATTGGTACATGAAGCAAATTCTGTTATCACCTCTCAAGGAACACTTAAGATGTATCATGGTATTGTTAACAACAAGACAATTTCGGTTTTGAGAGATTCTGGTTCGAACATTTCAGGTATTCACAAAGATCTTATCAAACCGACAGACATTATTAACAAATATATTAGTTGCCGAACGTTTGGAGGTACCATTGAGAAATATAAAGTAGCTTTTGTTAATGTTAACACTCCATTTTTACAAAGAAGAAGAGTTGCAGTATTGCCATCACCATGTGCAGGATTAATCTTGGGGAATGAAAAAGGTCTGAAAGAAATGTCTGAGCAAGAAATTGGGAAAGGAAAAAAATCAAAGAAGTGAAAGAAAATAACAACACAATTACCAGTGATCAAGAGTTTTGCCATAGTGTGAATGCAGCAGTAAATGAGAACATGATTACCAGTGATCAAGAGTTTTGCCATAGTGTGAATGCAGCAATAAGTGAGCACATGATTACCAGTGATCAAGATCTTTGCTATAGTGTGAATGCAAGAATACAAAGGAATGAAAATGATTCTTCCAAGAACAGGGAGCAGTCAATTAGTCATGCAAGAATAAGTGATAGCATCGGTACAAAAAAGAAGCAGCATGAAAGGAATGAGAACACAGAGTGTAAAGATAAATGTATGAAAGAAGTACAATATGAGAACATTGAGTGTAAAGATAATGGTATCAAAGAAGTACTGAATGCAAAAAACATGAATTACAATGCATTATGTGATAAAAACACACAATCCATACAGAATGAAAGTAAGATGTTGAGAAAGAGTGATGGAAGAAAGAACACACCAAGAACAGTTGCAGATAATGAAATACTTGAAAATAGTAATTTTTCTTAAGGTGACCACAACCCAAGAGAGAAAAAACATCAAGAGAAATCGCCATACTGTACAATTGATTATATGTGGCTGATACAGTACATATTACTTATCATGTGGCAAATTCTTTTGATAACATGCCAAACACACAACCTAGATTCATTCTGTGTTATCCAAAGCATCCAGATCCTACAACTTTTTCTGACTATAAGTCTTATTCACAAAGATTGCTACAACTCTCAACTGTTTGTTATTACAAAAACTTGTCAAATTCTTAGAAGTGCTACACTACTGACACTGTTGTTGCTGAAACTACTACTTTTGCAAATGATGTATTCAAAAAACACTTTCCACATTCGGTGATTACAAATCTTTATTGCCACAGTCAAATCCACAATCAAACAAACAGAATATAAAATGGTTACATTCATGTAAAATTACAAGAAAACTTTGCCTGTATAGAATCAAAATTAAAATGTGTCAGGTGATTATGCTAGTATTTGTGTTATCAAATGCAGAGATACTTGTTGATACAAAGCCATGTAATATATGTGTCAAAAAACTAAAACCAAACGCAACAAAGATAGAACACATTGGAACGGGAAGCTTTAGCACTAGTTAATAGTTTGGAAAAATTTCAGAAGTTTCTATCGGGAAAAGCTTTCACTATTTTTACAGATATCTTGGGATTAACAGGGTTATTAACAATTGATGCTAATAGTAATCCAAGGGTATATAGATGGGCATTGTTAATATCACAGTTCAAATTTAACATTGAGCACATCAAAGGAACAAACAATCAATTACCAGATTTCATGTCACGATAATAGAATACGTTACAACTACTGATAAAACTTGTATTAACTGAAATTATTTTATGCAAGGGTTATTGAATGAATGTATTATGTGAAATTACAACTTAGGGAATATATATATATATATATATTTTTGGTTTAATCAGGTATAATAGAGTAAACAATTGGAATTAAAGGGAGACAATATTCAGGTTGAAAATACACCTCACCAGAAAGTATGTTAACATTTATTGGTGTACTAAATTGAATTGGTGTAACATTGAATTTGAATATCTGTGAGACATGTTGTAGTTTCTGAAAACAAGGTAATTAACTAAATCTTGTACCTTACATATTTAGGAACAAAATCATACATTGCTGATTTAGCCATTGTTGGGGACTTTCGTGAATGGGAATAGCGAGGGTGGGACTTCATGGGGTCACACTTGGGTTTTAGAGCCAAGATTGTGGACTTTCGCACCGATCGGGGGTGCCTGGAGAGGGGTTCGGTGGTATACTGACTTTAGAACTGGGTGGGGATACCTATGGAGCCAGATTATTGGTCTTCCGCACTAAAAGGGGAGTGCCTGGAGTGAGGATCCCATTAAGGTATTCACAGTCGTGGAAAGACCCAACAGATGGCATTTTGGATTGTTTGAATTGTCAACCCAATAGGGAACTTGGTTGGAAATGAACTTGTCGAAAATGATTCACTACAGAGGTCTAACATTATCATTTTCAGAGAAATGATCACACCTGATTTGATTGAAAATGTAAAACATTTTTTTTTTTGGGTGGGGGAGAGTGTCATGACTCTCATTTTCTCCCAGATAATTTATGCCCCACAGATGACGTCAGTAATAAATGTGAGTGGAATATTTTGACTCTTAACTGGGACGAAACGGGAATTCTTGAGTCTAAACTTCAAACTAGTCTCTTTGCGTGAAGTATAATTATTCACGTGAAGAGAAATGTTGACTGTCGAACTTCATGCGAAGTTCGATGAATCACGTGCCACACACAACTGCCGGCTAAAAATGGAAGTCGTGAGACAGAAGGAACACAGAGTATTCGGGAAAAACAAAGCGGGGATTAGAAGGCTATATAATACCGTAGAAAGGACAGAGGGGGAGTCTCGTTTGGGCCCAGGAACAGAGTGCATGGACAACGGTGGATGATGTGTGGATTCAACATGTGTTTGAGTGTTTTTGTTCCTCCAACGTCCAACTTGGCAAAACGGACTGGCAGGCAATATGTCTGCAGGCCATGTTAGTTTTTCTGTCAGGACAGCTGTTGTGTTTTCGTTCATTATGATAGTGTAGGATGATTGTGATTTCGGACAGAAGGTAATAATTGATACTTTTGATATTTGAGTTATAATGTGTGCCTAGACAGTAGTCTATTTCATGTGCCGGCTGTGTAAGCCGCGAGTAGAAGATTAAAGTGCTGAACAGTATCATGTTATTTTTCCAGTCATCCATTATCTGCTCGTCGTGTGATGTCGGTATGTGAGATAGCAAGCGTGCGATGATGCGAGCCAGATAGAAGATAAAGGAAAGTCATCGCACTGACAGCCTATGAGAAATGGGGACGTTGATGAGACAGCCGATGAGAAATGGAGACGTTGATAAGACAGTCTATGAGAAACAGGGGCGTTGATGAGACAGCCTAGGAGAAACAAGTTGATGTGACAGCCTAGGAGAAACCGGGACGTTGATGAGACAGTCTATGAGAAACAGGGGTGTTGATGAGACAGCCTAGGAGAAACAAGTTGATGTGACAGCCTAGGAGAAACCGGGACGTTGATGAGACAGTCTATGAGAAACAGGGGTGTTGATGAGACAGCCTATGAGAAACTAGGGGGTTGATGAGACGGCCTATGAGAAATGGGGACGTTGATGAGACAGCCTAGGAGAAACGGGGACGTTGATGAGACAGCCTTGGAGAAACGGGGGTGTTGATGAGACAGCCTATGAGAAACGGGGGCGTTGATAAGACAGCCTATGAGAAACGGGGGGTGTTGATGAGACAGTCTATGAGAAACGGGGGACGTTGACGAGACAGCCTATGAGAAACGGGGGGTGTTGATGAGACAGTCTATGAGAAACGGGGGTGTTGATAAGACAGCCTATGAGAAACAGGGGACGTTGATGAGACAGCCTATGAGAAACAGGGGACGTTGATGAGACAGCCTATGAGAAACAGGGGACGTTGATGAGACAGTCTATGAGAAACAGGGGACGTTGATGAGACAGTCTATGAGAAACAGGGGACGTTGATGAGACAGTCTATGAGAAACAGGGGACGTTGATGAGACAGTCTATGAGAAACGCTGATGAGAGAGGTGCTAGATCCGATTATATTCATGATAAGTCAGGGACTGAGTGCAGGATAAAACCAAATGGATGACTGGACTACTAACCACGCATCAGGATGAGCTTTCGTGGATCTTCTCATATAATCCTAGTGATCAACAAATTAACACATCAGCATACATCCAACTGTTTATATGTGCCACACATCAGCATACATCCAACTGTTTATATGTGTGGCAGAATCTGTTGTATTTTGTTTCCCCCTTCAGGATTGCAGTCTGTAGGATTACCATCTCAAGGACGAGATTCAAATAGATACACAGCCTGGTGATCGGGGAACCACATTCAGCCGTATAGCCATATAGTACAGCTACACTGGGGCACCACATTCAACCGTATAGCCATATAGTACAGCTACACTGGGGCACCACAAAACAGTGACTCAGTCACTTGTAAGTCCAGTATGAGTGAGTTTGTAGTGTGATTGTATTTTGTGCATCAATGCTAGTTTCTTATTTTCTAGAGCTGACCCTCACTGTCCAGTGTAAGATATCTAGAGTTGCTCGACTTAAAGTGGACCGGACATTAAAAACTCCATATGGCTTTCCCCACCCAGTGAATAAACACGGTTCGTCCCTTTCTGTTCAGTGTCACAACATACTAGGACTAGGGGCGATAACCCGGGAAAGAGAAATAGAATATAAGATCACGCGTGTTACTTCCCTTATATTTACCTTGCAATTAGCCAAAGTTGGCGCGCGGGCAATGATACACCTACAAGTGCAGAAGGTGGGTGCTGACGGTTGTAAATAATGTCACATCACGCTGGTTGTGCAGTCATGCCTGTTGTATCATGTGTACAAGTACACTAGGCTTAATGTAATGCGTGCAAGAATATGGCGCCGTACTACATAATAACAGCCACAACTAACGACCAACGTATGCGTACTTACTAAATGCCCAGCCTTCTGAAGAGCCTGTTCAAGTTTTTCGATCTGTGTGTGGAGTATTTCATTGGCCTCCTCAAGTTCGTGTCGGTAGCTATCTCCGGTAGCGGGTTGGTCGACTTTCTCAGCTGAATCTTCGAGCCCGCCCACTGAGACCTGTCAATAAATTTTACATCAGAATATACAAGTTAATCACAAATTGTCGAAACTGTCAATGGTCAATCACTAACTGTCGAAACTGTCAAGGGTCAATCACTAATTGTCGAAACTGTCAATGGTCAATCACTAACTGTCGAAACTGTCAATGGTCAATCACTAACTGTCGAAACTGTCAATGTTCAATCACTAACTGTCGAAACTGTCAATGGTCAATCACTAACTGTCGAAACTGTCAATGGTCAATCACTAACTGTCGAAACTGTCAACGGTCAATCACTAACTGTCGAAACTGTCAATGGTCAATCACTAACTGTCGAAACTGGCAACGGTCAATCACTAACTGTCGAAACTGTCAACCACCAACTGTCGAAACCGTCAATAGATTTTACATCAGAACATACACGTCTATCACTAACTGTCGAAACTGTCAACCACCAACTGTCGAAACCGTCAATAGATTTTACATCAGAACATACACGTCTATCACTAACTGTCGAAATGGTCATTACACTGCTGTGTGTATGGTGGACGGTCATTACACTGCTGTGTGTATGGTGGACGGTCATTACACTGCTGTGTGTATGGTGGACGGTCATTACACTGCTGTGTGTATGGTGGACGGTCATTACACTGCTGTGTGTATGGTGGACGGTCATTACACTGCTGTGTGTATGGTGGACGGTCATTACACAGCTGTGTGTATGGTGGACGGTCATTACACTGCTGTGTGTGTGGTGGACGGTCATTACACTGCTGTGTGTGTGGTGGACGGTCATTACACTGCTGTGTGTGTGGTGGACGGTCATTACACTGCTGTGTGTGTGGTGGACGGTCATTACACTGCCGTGTGTATGGTGGACGGTCATTACACTGCTGTGTGTGTGGTGGACGGTCATTACACTGCTGTGTGTGTGGTGGACGGTCATTACACTGCCGTGTGTGTGTGGTGGACGGTCATTACACTGCTGTGTGTGTGGTGGACGATCATTACACTGCTGTGTGTGTGGTGGACGATCATTACACAGCTGTGTGTGTGGTGGACGGTCATTACACAGCTGTGTGTATGGTGGACGGTCATTACACTGCTGTGTGTATGGTGGACGGTCATTACACTGCTGTGTGTATGGTGGACGGTCATTACACTGCTGTGTGTATGGTGGACGGTCATTACACTGCTGTGTGTATGGTGGACGGTCATTACACAGCTGTGTGTATGGTGGACGGTCATTACACTGCTGTGTGTGTGGTGGACGGTCATTACACTGCTGTGTGTGTGTGGTGGACGGTCATTACACTGCCGTGTGTATGGTGGACGGTCATTACACTGCTGTGTGTGTGGTGGACGGTCATTACACTGCTGTGTGTGTGGTGGACGGTCATTACACTGCTGTGTGTGTGGTGGACGGTCATTACACTGCTGTGTGTGTGGTGGACGGTCATTACACTGCTGTGTGTGTGGTGGACGGTCATTACACTGCCGTGTGTATGGTGGACGGTCATTACACTGCTGTGTGTGTGGTGGACGGTCATTACACTGCTGTGTGTGTGGTGGACGGTCATTACACTGCCGTGTGTGTGTGGTGGACGGTCATTACACTGCTGTGTGTGTGGTGGACGATCATTAGACTGCTGTGTGTGTGGTGGACGATCATTACACAGCTGTGTGTGTGGTGGACGGTCATTACACAGCTGTGTGTATGGTGGACGGTCATTACACTGCTGTGTGTATGGTGGACGGTCATTACACTGCTGTGTGTATGGTGGACAGTCATTACACTGCTGTGTGTATGGTGGACGGTCATTACACTGCTGTGTGTATGGTGGACGGTCATTACACAGCTGTGTGTATGGTGGACGGTCATTACACTGCTGTGTGTGTGGTGGACGGTCATTACACTGCTGTGTGTGTGTGTGGTGGACGGTCATTACACTGCCGTGTGTATGGTGGACGGTCATTACACTGCTGTGTGTGTGTGGTGGACGGTCATTACACTGCTGTGTGTGTGGTGGACGGTCATTACACTGCTGTGTGTGTGGTGGACGGTCATTACACTGCCGTGTGTGTGTGGTGGACGGTCATTACACTGCCGTGTGTGTGTGGTGGACGATCATTACACTGCTGTGTGTGTGGTGGACGGTCATTACACTGCTGTGTGTATGGTGGACGGTCATTACACTGCTGTGTGTATGGTGGACGGTCATTACACAGCTGTGTGTATGGTGGACGGTCATTACACAGCTGTGTGTATGGTGGACGGTCATTACACAGCTGTGTGTGTGGTGGACGGTCATTACACTGCTGTGTGTATGGTGGACGGTCATTACACTGCTGTGTGTATGGTGGACGGTCATTACACAGCTGTGTGTATGGTGGACGGTCATTACACTGCTGTGTGTATGGTGGACGGTCATTACACTGCTGTGTGTATGGTGGACGGTCATTACACTGCTGTGTGTATGGTGGACGGTCATTACACAGCTGTGTGTATGGTGGACGATCATTACACTGCTGTGTGTGTGGTGGACGGTCATTACACAGCTGTGTGTATGGTGGACGGTCATTACACTGCTGTGTGTGTGGTGGACGGTCATTACACAGCTGTGTGTATGGTGGACGGTCATTACACTGCTGTGTTTGTGGTGGACGGTCATTACACAGCTGTGTGTATGGTGGACGGTGATTACACTGCTGTGTTTGTGGTGGACGGTCATTACACAGCTGTGTGTGGAGATCATATCGGGTTGTCAGGTTTGGCAGTAGACGCCAATTTTACGTGTGTCAAGGTCAGACTATGAACCGGGCGTTCACATCGATCAGTGGACAGCTGTGCACTGGCAGTCGGAAATGACTGTCTGCTGTGTGGATGTATGAGACAGGGGCACACAACTACACTGAACTATTTCCCCAAGTTTCTGTGTCTCTGTGGATGTATGAGACAGGGTCACACAACTACACTGAACTATTTCCCCAAGTTTCTGTGTCTCTGTGGATGTACGAGACAGGGGCACACAACTACACAGAATTATTTCCCTAAGTTTCTGTGTCTCTGTGGATGTATGAGACAGGGGCACACAACTACACATAATTATTTCCCTAAGTTTCTGTTTCAAGATGGAAACTAAAGAGATCACAGTTTAATAATGCAAATGCTGAGGCCCCCCCCCCCCCCAAACCCTACCCCGACCCCCTTTGTCGACTATAAGCTAGGGCGCCATCCTCCTCCTATTCTCTTATTTTTCCTGCTCCCGCGCAGTGCACTCTTGCCCCTTGGTTCTGTACTCAACCTAACCAACAGACATGTGCACAAACACATCGATTTCCCAACCACATCGACACAGTTATCATTCTTATAGGAGGATCGTGTTTAAGACGGTGGCATCGATTCTCTCACCACATCCACACAATTATCATTCGTATGAGAGTCAGGGAATCGTCACTGGGAGACGGGAAATCGATTGCCCCATGACAGCCCTACAATGGGCATTATCTCCCCTGCATCGCTGAGCCGTTTTCGCTGTGGGGGGTATTTTCCCGCCTTATCTCAGGATGGGCTGGCCCTTGTCCAGAAATTATGGGCCCCAGTTGAAGTATAAATCACACTAGGCTTGCGTCCCGTGAATAACACCTCTTCCCCCCCCCCCCCCCCTTTCGAAAATATGTAAGGGAGTCGATTTCCCACCTCCCCAATGTTCTCCCTGTGATGGCGTCCTGGCAAAGATATGCATGTCAGAACACCGATATCTGACGGCGGCGGTGTGCTGTTGTTGTTATCTATTGTTGTTACGGCTGTCGTTGTTGCTTTTGTTAGAAGTTGTGACTTCCATCTATTTTATAGAGAACTTAGGGCAAGCCACAGAAATGAGACACAGGCAGACAGACAGACAGAGAGAGAGAGAGAGAGAGAGAGAGAGAGAGAGAGAGAGAGAGAGAGAACAGACAGACGGACGGACAGACAGACAGACAGACAGACAGACAGACAGACAGACAGACAGACAGACAGACAGACAGACAGACAGACAGACAGACAGACAGACAGACAGACAGACAGACAGACAGACAGACAGACAGACAGACAGACAGACAGATAGATAGATAGATAGATAGATAGATAGATAGATAGATAGATAGATAGATAGATAGATAGATAGATAGATAGAACACACTTTATTTTCAAAGGGTTACAAATTGGGCACGCAGGCCCGTCTGACATTCAGCCCTTCTAAGCCCTTATTTTTCAGAGTACCAATGCCTGTCATCAATAATGCATGTTATGGGTGGTTGTAATAAAAAATATACATTATGGAATAATGCATACACACATCATGTGTACACAATCTACAGGTGGGAGGGCTACACGTGGATAGATGGCTACTTGTCAACAGTCTACAAGTGAGAGGGCTACATATGGATAGATGGCTACATGTCAACAGTCTACAGGTGAAAGGGCTACACGTGGATAGATGGCTACATGTCAACAGTCTACGGGTGAGAGGGCTACGCGTGGAAAGATGGCTACATGTCAACAGTCTACAGGTAAGAGGGCTACATATGGATAGATATCTACATGTCAACAGTCTACAAGTGAGAGGGCTATACGTGGATAGATGGCTACATGTCAACAGTCTACAAGTGAGAGGGCTACATATGGATAGATGGCTACATGTCAACAGTCTACAAGTGAGAGGGCTACATATAGATAGATGGCTACATGTCAACAGCCTACATGTGAGAGGGCTACATATCAACAACCTACAAGTGGGAGGGCTACAAATGGACAGGGCTAGAGACTGTTGTAACTGAATCAAACAGTTGGGTGGTTAAAACCAGATGCAAATGAGGCGGTGTAGCGAACGGTTTTGTAACCAGTAGCAAAAGACTGCCATGACTAGCACATGATTGTTGTCAGTGTTCTGGATGTTTAAGCTCGAGACAGAGACAACGTGGTTGTAATTGCGGCCTCGGA